GAGGTCCCTGTGAGCAGCCCCTACTCGACACCAGCCCCTACTCGACACCAGCCCCTACTCAACTGTTCCTCGTGGCTTCCTTCCTCGGTGACGCCCGATGCCACACGTGTGTGCGGCCCTCCTCCCGCCAGCTATTTGGCCCTGGCGCCCCTGCCAACCTGCTCCTCTGCTCAGGAGCTCCCAACCCTTCATTTAACTCATGTCCTCGAACCTGTGGCAATCCTCCTGCCTCAGCTTCCCGAGTACTGTGCTGGCACTATAGGTGTGTTGCCACCATGCCAGGCTTCAAACTGTTGTTTGCTTGTTTGTCTGTTTTTCTCAGAGAATGGCTTTCTTGGTGACTGCCTGACTGAATAACAGTTTTCAGATACTGTTCTTGTACTAACAGATCTGCTTATGTATCTGTCTCCTTCTATGGCTATTGGCTGATCAAAGATAGAGACTGTCTCCTAGACTTCTGTGGTCCCAAAAGAGTAATCAACTGTGTTTGTAGAATGAGTGAACACTGTAAAGGAACCAAATGGATAAGTAGTAAACAAAACACACTACAGGAAATTATTAAGTGAAATTCAAAGCAGTAGCATATATCATCAGGGCAAAAGATGTGTGACCCAGACATGGTGACACATGCCTGTAATCCAAGGACTCTGGGAGGCTGAGGCAGGAGGGTTGCAAGTCTGAGCCCAGACTGGGCAGTTTTTGTACTTAGCAAACCCTGACTCAAAACAAAGAGTTGTGGTTGTGCAAAAGCCCCAGGCTCAACCCCAGGATCATTTTTTTTAGTTACAGTTTTATAGCTATGAGAGAGAATAAACTCTCTTCCCTTGGTGGAAATTAGGGATATTGCTATTGTGAGTGATGTTTTATTTTGCAAAATTATAGTACTGTAATTAGTATTCCAGAAACTTGGTACTTAAACATATGTTCCCTAGACTAACATTGTTATTATTCTTTAAAATAAATTTTATTGGGCTGGGGATTTAGCTCAATGGTTACACTGCCTGCCTCGCAAGCACAAGGACCTGAGTTCAATCCCCAGTACTTCCCCCAAAAAATATTAAAAATAAATAAATTGTATTTTATTTTATCCCTTTCTCCAACCCCCTCCCCTCCCTATGTTCAAAATCTTTGTTTCCATTTTTGATTTCTTGGGCTGGGGATTTGGTTTAGTGGTTCTGCTGCCTTCCTCCTAAGCATAAGGGCCTGAGTTCAATCCCCAGTACCAAAACAAGTAAACAATCAATTTTTTCCTTGTATTTTCACATTTTTTTGTCCCTTCCTTTTTTCTTCCCTCCTCCCTGTTCCCCTTCCCATTTGAACACTTTCTTCCCACTTCCCAACATCCATTATACATTTCACTCCTTATTTCCACTTTTAGTTTCTCACACCAGAGAAACAATGTGGTATTTAATTAAACATGTGTGTCCAATTTTTTTCACTGAAGAGTGTAGTCTCAAGGCCCATTCACTTAGCTGTAAATGTCTGAAGCACATCCTTCTTTATGGCAGAGTAGTACTCCGTTGCATTAAAAAAAACACATCTTGTTTTGTGGTTTGTTTTTGGTTTTGTTGTGCTTTGTTTGTTTGTTTGTTTGTTTGTATCAAGGATCAAACTCAGGTCCTTGCGCTTGCAAGGCAGGTGGCAGAACCACTAAGCTAAATCCCCAGCCCAAACCTCATCTTCTTTATCCTCTTATCAGCTGATGGGCATTTGGGCTGTTTCTAAGATTTAGCTATTATTAACTGTGCTGCTATAAACATGAGTGTGCATATATCACTGTGGTTATGATGTTTTTAATTCTTTCTGGAAGATACCAAGAACAGGTATTGCTGGGTCAAATGGAACTCTAGATTTAGTTCTTTGAAAAATCTCCACACTGATTTCCAGAGTGGAAAAGGGTTCCTTCCCCCACACACACAACCCGTCCAGCATTTGCTATTGGTTGATTTCATTTCTTTTCTTTTTTTCTGGGGGAGGGTACCAGAGATTGAATTTGGGACTTTGCACTTATGAGGCAGGCGGCAGCACCACTGAGCTAAATCCCTGGCCCTTGGTTGATTTCTTGATAGCAGCCATTCTCTCTGGAGTGAGGTGGAAACTCAGCATTTTAATTTGCACTTCATAAATGATCAGTAATGTTGAACATTTTTTTCATATTTTTTAACAGTGTATTGCTTTTATTTAGGGGCCTGGAAGTAGGGGAAAGACATCATGGTGAGGGAAGAAATAAAGGACTACAAAGGCAGGAACAATTATTACAACAGTAATACACAAAATGAGCAATTGGAATAATTTTCTTAGAAGGACTTGACTCACAGAAGAAAAACTTTAATGGCTGTTGCAAAAATATTTTTATGAAAGTAGAAATTGGTTTCAGTAATATTGCTAGAGAATATGTTCTAGAAAGTGGAGGTAACTGGATGTAAAATTCTGGCAGCAATTTAATAGAACAATCCCAGATTATTAGGCTGAGGCTAACACACAATTCTGTGGGGAATTTTGGACAATACCTGCAGAAATATTACACTGTGCATAAACCAAATTGTATTATTTTTACAAGTGTTGTAAAGTTTCATACAGGAAAAGTTTTTTTCTATATGCACTTCAATTTCACAGCAAGAGTAGCATAGAATACCTAAACAGAAGAGCTTTCGTGCAAGATATCTAACTCGTTGGTATAAAAATGCATGCACTTTAAAATGATGACACTCTCACTACCTCTAGGGCTTCCCGTAACTATGACGTGGAGGTTATGGAAAGCTTGATCCCTGGTATCAGCATCTAGAAAGTAGCCACTACCTTCTATGTGTGTTCTCTTTTTGCATTTTTTTTTTCATTTTTCATAATCGACTCTGCTGTTGTTACTGCTGCTTAGCAAAACTGGTAAAAACAAAATTGTAATAACCGAACATAGCACTCAATGAAGACATTTAAAAACCTTCAGTCTTCTGGGGTGAAGAAAGCACTGTGTGTCATTTAGAACTGATTAACAAACAAGGTGATCACAAATTTTCCTGGCTTGAAGACTCCCACAACTTTCCTGATCAGGTCATCGTGGGAGGTCTGACTTGTTTGTTTCAAAGTTAACATAAGAAAACTTTGGTTCTGGAGTGATGTGACTAGTCCAGAAAGTTCCATTCCATTCACGGAATACCAAGGATTGAACAGTGTGGCATCAATGACAGAACTTGATATCAGGTCACCAATTCCACTCTCACGAGTGACATCCTTTGCAGTAACACCGTCTTTCATGTAGAACTAGTCCCTAACTCCTGGGTCAAGTCTGCTCATCAGATTTTCCAGGATCTGATCTGGATGAATGATTACTCGACTCTGGGAAATCCAGAGGATAAACGTACCAACAGTCAGAATTCATAGGTCCCTTGCAAAATGCTGCTGCATTAGGAAAAATGCATTAAGAAACTCTATTTCCTCCTGAAGATTCCGGTGTGGGTACCCTTGGTGAGAAGGCTTCATGAAATTCTTGGGAGAATAAAAGAAGCTGTGAATAGAGTCAAACCCACGTAATCCCTAGCAAGCTTCAATGCGGGGGTGGGTGGGGGATGGGACCCGTGCTTTCAGCGCGAGGGTGGTGCCACGTCTTCAAAGGGAAACATCTCTTGGAGACAGACATGCTACTCTCACTGAGTACATCAGCTTCCTGCTTGCCAGTTTTTGTCACATTTGTGACTGAACATTATTGCACATCCTTCAAAAGTACATCCCCCTCAGATCTCGGGAGAGTGCGAAGATCCCCAGATCCCTGGTTGGCATCGGGTTGCTGACGGGAGAATCAAACCTCCAGCAGCTTCTCAGTCCCCTCGGAAAAAAATGTGCAGCTACCGTCACCGTGAGACTGGGGAGCAGCCAACAACTCAACGAGAAAATCAACTAAATTAAATCTCTTCTGCTGCTGCAGCCACCGCCGCCACGGATTGTTTCACCTGTGTTGCTATAAAGTTCAGGTTCCTTTCTGTTTTGCTGTAACTTTATATCAACTTTTTTTAAAGGATTAATTTTTTAAAAAATTAAAAGCCGGGGATTTAGCTCAGCTGTTCGGTGGCCTGCCTCGCAAGCGCAAGGACCCGAGTTCGATCCTCGGTACCAAAATAAAAAGATTAATAAAAATTTCCTGTTTTTTTTTTGAGTGGAAGTTGAACATGAGTCTGTTTGGAAATAGAGGCAGATACAGTCTAGTCTCTTGTAATCCGCTGCTTTCCCGAAAGAGAATCGAGCAAGCTCTAGCTAATGTCGCCCTCCATACTATGTAAGCCTTTCATATATTTATTTGTCTTTTTTTTTTTTTTATACTGGGGATCGAACTAGGATCCTTTTGCTTGCGAGGCAGGGGCCAGAACCACTGAGCTAAATCCCCGGCCTGACATTTCTAATTCTTCATCTGAGGAGTGCCTTTTTATTTCAGATGCCCACTTTTGCAATGGGTCTTTAAATTTGGGGAGGGGTTTGATTTTTTTTTTTTTTTAGTTCTTTATATATTCTAGATAATAGCCTAGACTAACATTATTGGCTTCGCCTGGATATTTGTTAAATGTGTAGATTCTTGGGCTTCACCCCAGATCTGTTGAACTTGAATTTTCCTTTCAGACAGGGTCTTACTCTGTAGTACAGGATGGCATGGGACTCACTATGTAGTGCAGGCTGGCTTTGAACTTGGAATCCTCCTGCCACCACTTGTCAAGTACTGGGATTCAAGCCACCATACCAGGTTTGAATCTCCATTTTAAAAAGAAAAAGTAAGTAAGTAAATAAATAAATTTTCTTAAAGTCTTTGTATTGAGAGATAATAGGAAAAAAATCACATGGGTAGGTACATGTGGAAAAGAAACATGATCACAGCTGAGCGAAGACGGTCTAATCAGAACACTGGTGTAGGGCTGGGGATTTAGCTTGGGGATAGAGCACTTGCCCAGCATGCCCAAAGCTCTGGGTTCAATCTCCAGCACTGCAAAAAAAAAAAAAAAAATGAGAACATTAGTGTTCGTCAGCTAGGGCAGCATGTTGTATAGGCCCCAGAAAACTCCTTTTCCTCCATCCCCTCACCCACGTACCAGTGAACAAAGGTACAAACATCAGATCGAACTTGTGGTCCAGGAGAGGCCAGGCCTCAGCAATGGCTGTGGTGTTGCTCACATGCACGCAGCCCGCTGCACCTTGGCCAGGTCTCCACCAGCACCACACACCACGGTGGGAGGCTGGTAATTGATGCCGACCTTGAAGCCAGTGGGATGTATGAGACATCCTGCCCAGTACTAGAGGGCTATGAGTGGCACATGCTTCTTGCTTTCCCTGATTCAGCGATACTGTTTTATATCAGGAGTCAGACTGAAGCCCTGTGTGACTCAAACGGGCATGTCAGCTAGCAGAGTTGGGCTAGTACTGCTGCTTTGCTAATGGCTGTCACTGAGTCTTAAGTCCTGTGAAGTGGCAGGGTCCTGCTGAATTACATGCAGCTGAGGTCAGCGTGACCCCAATTAAAATTCTCCTCTGAATTATTGCTTCTCACTGACCTTGTGGGTTTCTTGATAATTGCGCCTGGTCCCAGTACTGGTTCCTTCTGTCCTAGCAAGATAAACAGTGCCAACTCCCTGGCAGTAATTCACTAGATGATTTCAACGCTCCCTGGCTCCCTATTCCTTCTCACAATTGCATTCAATAAGTACTGGGTGTGCTTGGGGGCTTTTGTCTTTGTTACCTGGAGCGGCATTGACCAGGACCCAAGACTCAGCTTCACTATAAGCTTAGTTCTGTCCGTGGTGGTTCACAGGAGTCTGGGACTTACTGCAGGGGTCTCCAGTGATGTTCATTCCCTCTGACACTTACAGTGGGACACCAGCCCATAAACTGGATGCTGAGGTTCCTATGACAAGTGCTGTGGGTAGTGAGGATGGAGATATAGGACCCAAACAAAACTGTGGAAACCTGAAGAGAACGCCATCTTGGATTTCTTGCTGTAGTCAACAAAGAGATTTTCCATCAGCAGGTGAATTGGAGCCAGTTTCCCCACAAAACTATGAAAAACCAAGAAGTCCTATAGACTGTGCACTGGTCAACTACTTTACAAATTCAGTCCAAGACAAGGTCAAGTATCTCCTTGCCAATGGTTAGACCCAAGGATGTAGCTCTTAGCAGTGACTTCCTAGACTTTGACAATCTGCTCAGGTTAGAAGAGATGGTGGCAGGTGCCAGTGTGAACTTTATCAATGACCTTGGGCTTCACTTCTACAAACAGTGCCCCAGGCACATTCTTGCCAGCACAGGTCTCACTGTAGATGTTGAAGGAGTTATTTCTTCCCTCAATATTCTTGTCACTTGGCATCTGGCCATCAGATAGAGATGAATTCATGTGTCATGGCATGGGTTAGGAGGTGCAGGTGAGAGGAGCAGGCACTAGGTCTCAGCAACCATCCTATAAGCTACCAGTTGATGTAAGTAATGCACTAGAACTTGCATTTCCCAAGATGCTCTGGGCCCTTTATACACACCTTCCAGGTTGAGAAACACTGCTCTAGAAAATAATGGTTGGGAAAGGTGATGGAGCCTGGAGTTCAGGGTCCTTGATGCCTTTTGCTGGCCCAGAAAGCAGAGCTCTGTATGGTGGGCTGGCTGGATGCTAGAGCTTTACTTCAGGAGGGCTCCCTACTTCAAGGACTAGTGGTTGTACCCCGCCTCAGGGTGCTGATCTCTCAAGCAGGTTCAATGCCTGGGGGCTGGGACTGAGTGTGACTGAATAAATAGGTTGAAATAGACCCTAGCCAAGATCAGGTGGGCTAGGTGTGGCAGGGAGTAGACCTTATGGAATTGGTAGGGGAAGGCCTGAGCGGTGAGCACAAGGGCTGGAGAATCAGATGAGGCAATTCCCGGGGCAGGGGCTGGGTTGGGCTGGTCCTCAACTCAGAGGGTCAAGGATAGGGTGAGCTTCAAGAATGGGGTGAGGCTTGGGGTTGGGCTAAGGATCAGGAGGTCTAGTGCAAATATTCTTGTAATGCAAAGCAATACTTTCATATTCTGAAGGGGTGGCTATTAAAATGCCTTGCTTTTTATTGTAGTTGTATTTCCCCCTTTTAAGATAGGTACCACCAACAAAGGAAGCCAAGAATGACAATCTAATGGACTAGAGTCTACAACAGCTTGTGATCTCAACCTAATCGAAGAGCTCTGAGTCACCTTGTCAGGGCTGCATTTCATAGCACGGCTGCGCTGTCCCTACCTTGAAATCCTGGTCCTGGGGAAACAGGAGCATATTGAGGGTTCCTGATTCTAGGCTGTGGCATAAGCCAGACTCTGAGTTCCTCAAACATTTTTTATTGGGTTGATTTTTTTCCTTTTTCTTTCTCTCTTAACATAAATCTTATTGTGTATATTTAAAATGGACAACATTGTGTCACCATATAGATTAAAAATGGCTACGAGAGTGAAGCAAATTAATACAGCCATCATCTCAGATGGTCTCTTATTTAGTGTATGTGGCAAGAGCAGCAAAAATCTACTCATTTAGGATCAGGCATGGTGATTATAGGCAGGCCTGTAATCTCAGAATTTGGGTGGCTGAGGCAGGAGGGCTGCAGTGAGTTCAAGGCCAGACTGAACTACGTAGTGAAACCTTGTCTAAAAAAAAAAGTCAAAATCAAGTATTTTAGATTGTAGAAATTAACCAAAGGCTTGCAACAATCCAAAGAGTGTTTTTCCCCCTAGAAAAATGACTGACTTGTAAGAACAGTGAGTTTTGTAGTGCTTTAGCCCTTTCCAGATCTATGGTAACCTTGAAACCAGAAGTGTTGGATGGCCTAGTAGTTATTGGAGGTTGTTGAATTATTTCTTTTTACTTTTACTTTTATTTTTGCAGCACTGAGGATTGAGCCTAGGGCCTTCACACTGGTCTACATCGAAAGCCCTTTACATTTTTTTTTTTTTAATGTTTAGACAAGGTCTAAATTGCTCAGGATGGATTTGAATTTTCTATCCTCCTGCCTCAGCTTTGCAGAGTGCTGGGATTACAGGTGTGCACCACCACATCTGGCTTCTAATGGAATTTGAATTCCCCGGGCTGCTAACTAGGGAACTGTCACTGTCTGCAAGATCCATGGAAAAACCCCGTCCACAGAGGTTGCCTTTATTTAGTCACTGAGGAGAGCCCTGGCTCTGGGGCCCAGAAGCCAACACATACTTGCAAACTTGTGCATCTCTCACCTCCGGTTCACATTGAGACTCTGTGCAAGCAGGAACTGACATGTAGGGCTGGTTCCTGGTGTGCACAAGGGCTTGGGCTCTCTCTCTCTCTCTCTTTTTCTTTTCTTTTTGAGACCCTGTCTCAAAAAAAAAAAAATCAAAATAGGTATCAGTCACCTGGGCGGGGGGCCAAGGTCTTAACCCAGCCTTTCCAGGAAATATCCCTGACTCCCACCCCTACTGAAAATCCTTGTATATGCCTGCTATGTGACTTGCTCCCCCATTTGACCCCCATTTAATCAATATTAAATGGGGTGACTGCACTTATAATTAATATTAAATAATCAATATTAAATGGGTGACTGCACTTATAATTTTATTAGTTGGTCATGGTTTTGCCCCACCTCATGCCCATCTTGTAATTTTCCATTGGGTCTTACAGTTTTGTCTCACTTTGTACCCGCCTCACCACATGACTTTCCTGTATAAAACATCTTTGAAAAGTGGAGTGGGCGGGCAACACACTTTCCAGTCCCCCTTCTGTCTCTCTTAGACAGAAGCTTTCTTTCCTTTTTTTTCTTTTTTTTTTTTTTTTTTTTTTTTTTTTTTTTTGTGCCAGGGATCGAACTCAGACCTTTGCACTTGCAAGGCAGGCGGCAGAACCACTGAGCTAAGTCCCCAGCCCCCAGAAGCTTTCTTTCCCTCAATAAATTTTTCCTACTCTACTCATAACCTCTGTTGTTTCTAAAATTCATTCTCTGATTTTAGAGAACACAAACTCACATTTCAAGTATGTAGCAGGTTTGGGAGTTCCATCTCTTCCACCTATATTGGAAGGAAGAATGGAGGGAGGGAGGGAGGGAAATCATCTTTCAACTGACTTCCCAGCCTCCAAGAGGAATTCAGGAATTACATTAGAATTTCAGAATTTTTAAGGGTAATAAAATTGTTGTGGTCATTGCTTCTCAGCCTTTTGGCCAAGATCAAGTGTAAAATTGTGGTCATGTGTGTGTGTGTGTGTGTGTGTGTGCATGTTGTAGTGTTGGGGACTAAATACAGAGTTTCACACATCCTAGGCAAGAATTCTATCACTGAGGTATAACCGCAGCCTTTGGTTCAGTTTGGTTTGGTTTGATTTGAAGATAGGGTCTTCCTAAACTGCCCAGGCTGGTCTCAAATTTTTTGTTTTGTTTTGTTTTGTTGAGACAGGGTCTCACTATGTAGTTGAGACTGACTGGAACTCACTATGTAGCTCAGGCTGGTCTCAAACTCACAGCGATCCTCCTGCCTTAGCCTCCTGAGTGCTGGGATTACAAACTTGGGCCACCACGCCCGGCCTGTGGTCTCAAATTTTTAATCTTCCTCTTTCAGCCTCAAAAGTAGCTGGAAGGGCCTAGGATTTAGTTAGCTCAGTGGTTCCACTGCCTGCCTCGCAAGCTCAAGGACACAAGTTCAATCCCTGGTACCAAAAATATAGATAAATAAATAAATAGTAGCTGGAAATACATGAGAGAGAGAGAGAGAGAGAGAGAGAGAGAGAGAGAGAGATTATTTGGGGATGTAGCTCAGCGATAAAGTACTTGTATGCATGACGTCCTGGTTTCAATTCCCAGTACTCCACAAAGGGAGAGAGTGATTAAGTGGCACAATATCTAGAATTTTCCTCAAAACAACACATGAGCAGAAAGACAATTTTGAATGAGGAAATAAACTGGGAAGGGCTGACCATTGGCTGATGGCTATGGAATGATGCAGACAGGGAAGGAAGTACATTACACTGCCCTATCAATTTTTGTTCATATCCAAAACCTCCATTATACAAGTATTTTTTTAAAGAGAAAAGAAGAAAAGAGAGAAAGTAATGGAAGAGAAGAAGGTGAATGAATCCCAGCTTTTGTTGAAGCAATCAGGCAGCTGATGGTACCATTTTCTAAGATAATGAAAAGGATGGGCTGAGAGTGAGACAAGAGCAGCAGGAAGTATCCCAAGTCCCTTCTGGGTGTTCACCGTTTAATAATCCAGTAAACACGCTGAACAAGACGTCAAGTAGTAAACTGGATGCACATTTGAAACTCAGAAGATAGATCTATACTGAAGAGACAAATGCATGACTAATTAGCACATGCATGATATTTTAGGCCACGAACATGGATGGGCTTAGGTGGTGATGATTGTTCGCACTGGTTTATCACTTGTAACAAGGCACACTCTCCTGAGGGACTTTGATATGGGGGAGGCTATCCATGTGCGGTACAGGGGGAAATTAGAAATATCTAAACCTTGCTCTTAATTTTGCTATGAACCTAAAACTGTCCAAAATATAAAATCTTTTTTTTAATGATGAGATTACTTTTTGTTTTTTTTTTAGTTTTTCGAGACAGGATAGTTTTGTAGTTCAGGCTGGCCCTGAACTCACTTTGTAGCCCAGGCTGGCCTCCAACTCACTCACAGCGCTCTTCCTGCCTCTGCCTCCCAAGTGCTGGGATTACAGCAGGCATCACCACACCCAGCGATGATGAGATTACTTAATGAGAGATTGTAGACTGAGGAAGATCCAAGATTAGCATCCTCCAAAGAAAATTCAGAATTTAAGTAGATGATGAAGTAAGGGAGTTAACCAGACCCTCCCCCCAATAGCCTGTGCCTGAACTTTACCCCTTTTCCTCCCCAGACTGCCTGTTCAAAGTAATGAGTTAAGGAGCACATAGCTTACCTTGTGATTAAGAACAAAGGACAAGACAAATCTTGTCTTGTGGTTAAGAACAAAAGACAGGACATGTTATATTATGGCCCTAACAGGGAAATGTCTTGCCAGATCCCAAAAACTGGATTTTAATCTAACGTGCACTCTGCTTCTGAACCCCTGGGCTTAGTCAAAGATGAGATCATGACATTTGTGTGTGTGTGTGTGTGTGTGTGTGTGTGTGTTTCCTTTAAAAACTGGACTTCCCTGCTTCATTGATAACAAAGGGGTTAAGAGTGGGAGTCACATTTGGTCACCGACTAGAAAGGACTTTTAATTTGGACATTTTTTCATGGCATGATTCTTTTCGCCAAAGTGGCTATATCACAGATGAGAAAGATAGAAGAAAAAAAAATAATAAGTCTAAGAAAGATCAGTCAATGGGAGAAGATAAACAGATCTCTGGAGTTGGGAGGTGCTGGGACAGCCAAAATGAGAGAGTATTTCAAGGAAGAAATAGATGCCAACTGTTTCCAAAGCTCTGAAGAGGTCAAATAAGATGATACAGGGACTATTCTCTGTCCCTGTATCTGGCAGTGTGGACACCACTGTGATAAGAATAAATTATGTGGGCTGAGGATGTAGCTGTGCCTGTCTGCAAGTGTACGGTCCTGAGTTCAATTCCGGGGGCTGGGGGACAGCTTATGTAAGAGCAATGGGTCGGAGAGGGAAGAAGAGTGAACAGAGGGTGAGGAAGCCGAGATAATGTGAGCAGGTGATGCAAGAAAGTATGAAGCAAATCCATAAAATGGGGTGGTTGTTAAAGTGAGGTGTGAAGTCAAGAGAGGGTTGGATTTTTTATTAACCTGAGATATATTACAGCATGTATATGATGAAAGATCCTGAAAGAGCCAGAGATTAATGCTTTGTGGGGAAAAAAAAAAAAGATAAAACTAAGACAAGGATTCCAAGCAGCATTTTTCAATAATACCCAAAAAAGTAGAAACAGCTCAAGTGCCCATCTGCTGATGAATAGATAAATAAAATATGGAGTACAATGTAACATTACTGGGACACAAAAAGATGAAGTATGGAGATGTGCCACTGCATGATGAACCTTAGAAGCGTTGCGCTGAGTGGTGAAAGAAGCAGTCAGAAAGGCCACATTTTTATCTCAACTCCAAAGTTCACATTATTACTAACACACGTGCTAGTAAAGGTCTACTCAGGCAAAGGAAAACCATTCTAATGGTTTCAACAGAAGAAATGTCATGGGAACTGGTCAGAAATGTGTGAAAAACCTGGAACAACTGTTACGGTTTGTGTCTAGATGTCCCTCAAAGCCTCTTGCAGTCGTAGGCAGGGCTTTATCAGAAGTCTTTAGACCTAGAGCATGTGAAGCTAGCATTGATTTGTGGTGCAATGCAAGGCTCCAGGGCACTAGGGTATGAGTGCTACCCGCCCTAGGCAGTCTGGACAAAAGGAGCAGAAAGACACCTTAAGCTCCCTTGTTGCTTAGCTAACTTCTGTCTGCCATGTGCCACTTTGCCTTGGAGCTAGTCAATTATGGACTGAAATCTCTACAAACTGTGAGTTAAGTATACTTTCCCCCTTTAACTTTGTTTGTTTTTGTTTTGTTTTTGTTGTTGTTTTGTTTTATTTTTTGAGACAGGGTCTCACTATGTAGTTGAGACTGACCTGGAACTCACTGTGTAGCCCAGGCTGGTCTGGAACTCACAGCGATCCTCCTGCCTCAGCCTCCCAAGTGCTGGGATTACAGGCATGCGCCACCACACCAGGCTTCCCCCTTTGACTTTGAGTGTCAAGTATTATGTCTCAGCAATGAGAGAAAAGTAACTAAAAAGAACAACCAAAGGGAGAAGTTGGCAGGTTGAAGGGATAGAAATGAAGAAGGAATGACACCCAGAGAGCATAAGCTGCCAACATCTCTTGACTACAGCTCCAGCCTCCCCAGACTGTCCTGTGGTGTATTCTAGATTTGCTAAGAAGGGTCTACCTCCACCAGAGATGGAAATGCTGAAAAGATGCATCCCTGGCAGATGGAATCTGGAATCTTTCCATGCCCATGCTGTTCCAGCACCACCATGGAGACCAGCCAGCCAGAAGCAGGAAGAGCCTCTTCTCCCCGCAAGTGCAAACACTAGGAAGCCAGTGAGCCTGGGAGCCAGAGAAATGTAATTTGCAGATTCCTAATTCCAGTAAGATAGAACAAAGATTACAAGGACAGATGAAAAGCTAAGAGAACACAGGTGAATAACTGCCTAGGGGAAAGAAATAGAAGAATTCCCATTTATTTCCAGGGCAAAAAAAGTAATTTAATATCCATCCTACTATTTAACATTCTGAATGCATTATGGTAGTTATAGCAATTAAACAAAAAAAAAAAGAACATATAAAAATTGAAAAAAAGTAAAATTGTCATTATTTCTATGTATCATTTTGTACCTAGAAAACTCAAAGAATCAAGTTTTAAAATGAATATGAGGGGCCCCGATCCACTGTGGGAAGGAGAACCACACCTGCTCCCGACCCAGCTGCCATCGCTCAAGCACCGGGAAGGTAGCCACGCGGGCGCCCCTGAACCCCCATAAGCCCCCCCGTGCACTCTCAGACCTCCTGACTGTGCCAGTCTTTGGACCCACTCTGCAAAGACAGAGGTGGTCATCAAGGGTATTTTTCTGAGTTCCCAACTTTGAACATCTTTAAAGAAAGGGCATGGGAAACCTGTAATAGAACGTTGCGGAGTTCAACCATTCAGAAGGATGGGGAACTCAATCTGGGCCTTGCAGCCCGAGGTCAGTCAGCATCAGGGGGTTCAGCAATCAGCTAACTGAGATCAGGGGTCTTGCATCCTCGCTCTGTCTGAGCCATTAAATGGTAAATACACTATATTGAAATTTTGTTCACTGCAGACATGCTCTGGACTGCTTCTTGATTTCAATTTAATTCAAATGATTTAAGGGTGATAGACCAGTGACTACTACAGGTGGTCAGTGTCCAAGTTGTGCTTGTTCTTAAATGTGTTGCTGATTGTATCAGTTGGGGTAAAGCATTGCCATTGATTTGATGAGCTGTTTTCTCCGATGTTATGAAGATGAGAATGTCTGTGGGTCGTTAGAGACACAGAAGCTAGGGCGCAACTATATCAGGAAGATTTGGGTGATAACCCAGAGATAAACCAAGGACAGTCCGACAACAAAAATTAAAATGAGAAAACACTTAAGCAAGACATGAGGACAGACTTCCAGTTCACCAATGGCAAACAGTAGGG